ACATACATAAATATAATTATATTAAATTTTAATTTAATTATTTAAAAATTTATATTTATCAAATATATTTAAGTTGTTAGCACTACTCACGATTATTGGTTTATTCCACTCATGAAGCCCAAGAACTCGAGTTAAACCAGCAGCAAGTCTGTCAGTATCGTAACGGGCAAGGAGTTGCTGATGAGTGTAATAAAAAAGTTCCCCCTGACGGTCATTGTAAGCAAAAAATGGATTTGCGATATGCCATTGCCAGTGAAAGAAGTTGAATCCTACATCTTCTCTGAAGTGCGCCAATTGTGACTCAGGATCTCGGCGGTTGGAAGTCGAGAACAGATCAAGATCAAGTCCTCGCACGATCTGCGAAGTTCCGGGTAAATTAGCTTCGGCTGTCGCCTGATCGATCTGTCCGTTGACGAAGAATACTTGCGCGTGAAGCTGAAATACGGGCGGAATGCGCACTCCCGTCGCGTCATCTCGTAACTGGATGGCAACGTGAAATGAAAACAACCACAGCTCCGTATTAATGTTATCGCGGAAATAGGTGGCCAATTGAATGAATAAATCGAAGTTCTCAGCACTGTTAAGAAATTGGATAACTATCTCAGCTTCCTGACGATGTGATTCGACGAAAACAGAAAATTTATCTCCGCGAGGCAGAACCCCGACGCCCGCTGGGAGATTTGCATCTTTCCCGACACTGTCGTCCAAAGGTTTGGCCGGTATTAGTACGTCTAATGTCGATTTTTGTTTGGCGGTATCTGAAAATAATGACACATTCTCGTGTATTTATCAATCCATAAATGATTATGTAACTTTTACAATTAATAGATCGCTAATAATAATATAACAACACTAATTAAACGTTTATTAAAAATATAAATTTATTTGCTTGTAGTATACTCATGGGGTGATGGATGGGATGAGCACGGTGCAGATTTTACGTAGGTAGGCCTACATCCTGCAAATGACCTAATGATCCATAACCGTAGAGTAACAGGGGCTGTATAAACCAGTACACCGGAGTAACCCCCTACTCGTATCGGAAGATGTGCTGTGTTCTATAAAGTGCACATGGATCAATTGTGTACACTGGGGCCTACGGTTTGTAGTTCTTATCCGAGAAAACTTGTTTCACCACCTGAAACATAGGCGAGCCTGCCGCTCGAACCAGCGCCGACTATGGATGGTTGCGGCGCCCCTGCCTAAACCCCTCGCCCATTCGACTCACCAGATGATACATGAATTATACCGGCACGGAAACCTACCTATTGATCTTTTGTTTCTTGCTGATCTGTTTTCAACAACCTTGAAACTCTCCTTTAAATTCGAAACAAGCTTAAACAAATAAGAAAAATAGATCTATTGTATAATGGTATATCCAATTGGAGTGCAGGTGTTACTTGGTGGTTAAGTTACCGGTACTTGCCTTTCTCATGGTCCTGGGTTCAATTCATGGTAGTGAAAGGACGTTTTCTCACGACCAAAACTCCACTCTCCACTCCCTCAGGTTTATAGGCCTAATGAGACTTAGTTTAGTAGAGCAGCATATTGTATTTGATTGTTTAAGACATTGCCACTTACGGTATCGTGTAAGGCTATTGTGAATAATATTGCTATTGACAATTATTGGCCTTTGCGCCTAAATAAATATTGTAATATAAAAGAAAGAAATAAATATTTTCCGTTTCTTTCTTATGTTACATTATATTGTAATTGGCCTATTTAAATATAGGCCTA